CGGCACCGGCAGAAGGCAGGCAGGCAGCATCCATCACCGGCACGGCAGACCTCCGACGCACAGCAGCAGGTCTGATCCCCCTCCCCTCTCTGTGGCACCATAGGATTAATGCCTGAGTTTGGTTCACCACACACAGAAAGAAAACGATTATTCTCCGTTTATGCATGTTTCCCCACTCTCCCTCTCCGTGCCGTAATTATATTTCTCTTGTGATTGTAAATTCTTGGCCTGATGCCTGCACTGCATTTATACTTGTCTTGTGATTGGAAATTCTCAACAGGTACCCATCCCTGGCCTGCTGTGCTGTGCTGTGCTGTGCTGCAACTCAATCCCCCATTTACAGCAGCTAGGTACTAGGCAGAGGGATCCGTCACCGGCAGGAAGGAAGGCAGGCAGGCGGCACCCCATCACCGGCGCGCTTGCGCTAACGTAGGTGCTATACATACACTCCTCGCCTTTCATTTGCAGCTTCCAGCTAGCAGCCTATTTACCAACAAATTTATTTTGATTCCTCAATGCAGGTGTTGCACAATCGTTCATCCCTGTGTCCGGCCAGGGGATGGCTGAGGCTGCCCTCGGCATGGCACAATGGGTGGTGGAGAAGGCGCTAGGCCCCGTTGGAAAATGTTCAGGGTGTTTGAAAATGTTTAGAATTTTTAAAAAGTTTTTGTACTCTCTCTGTCTTGAATTACTTGTCACAGAAATAGATAAAAATGGATGTATCTAGAACAAAAATACGTTTAGATACATCCATTTTTGCGAAAGTAATTCCGGACGGAGGAAGTATGTACATAATGCTAATATTTTCTTTCAATAGAACATTAAAGAATGTTGACAAAAGTTTCTAAAAATATCTTTCACATAAACAAGATTCACGTTGTGACGCATAAACAAAACAGAAGCCCCACGTCAAAAAAAAACCAAAAAAAAAAACAGAAGCCCACCGGGCGGGCCCTGCGGCAATTACAGGCTCACCGGAGTGGGCCACCATTCCTTGTCTGCTCCCCGATGATGGATGAGTCCAACAGCAGACGGCGGCGACGGCGACCGGCGGGCAAGGACGGGGATGCGCCGTCTTCCGGCTGCTCTGCTCGCCTGCCGGCGTGGTCCCCAGCCCGACCTCTGCTCCGTCCGCTGGAAGTGGAAGGAAGCGCACTGCTATGCCACAGGGTCAGGTCAGCTCTCATCCGCCTGCCCGCCCGCCATGTGTTTGTGCTTATTCCCGTGACCTTCGTTTCCACCGGCATCGCAACCTATCTATCTATCTATCTATCTATCTATCTCGAGTAGAGTGGTTGTCACCTTATTCATTCCTACAGTACAGTGAGCAGCCACGCACACGCACGAGGCTTGCTTCAATTCAATGGCATGGCATGATCAGTGGTGAGCTTTGGGGTCTTGGCGATCGATCGATCGATCGATCACAGTCAATCAAAAACCAACAGTAGCGATCGATCCATCACAGTCAATGAATGCATAAACGCATCTTTCTCAAGAAGATGCATGCAGACACTCCTGGAGAGGACCCTACGCACTGAATTTACAATCACCGACGTTTCCTCTAACAAGTTTGCCTTGCTTTGCTTGCTTGTGTTCATCACAAACTAAACTAGTATAGTGCTGCTGCACACACATACACTCTGCAGCACTCTAGATACTCTACAGGCCAAAGCACAACCGCCGAACCGCGTCGCGTCTACAGAGGCCAGAGATAAAAACCTGCTGCGAGCGAGCTCAATATATACATTCATTCTTCTTGCTAGTACTAAACGCACCTACCTTTTTTATTTGTCCATCCATGCATGGATCTATTAATTCTTGAAAGCAAATTGTGGAAAATGAACACATACTCCCTCTGTAAATAAATACTACACTAGAGCTCAACTCAAATTAATAATGCTTCTTGCCTTCGCGTGATCGACTCGCTTGGGCTCCATGCATCCTCGCATGCCAGCTTGTGAACCTCCCTGTATATATTATCTCACCGAAAATGTGCAAGATCAATATATAGTGCCCCAAAAACAAAAAAACCTATTCATCTATCTATAGTAAGCTACTGTAAGACTTTTGGAAAATGTCAAATCCATCAAGCTCTCCCAATTATTACCACCCAACAACAACAACAACAGTGCGTCATGTCCCATCCGGATCAGATCAGATCAGATCGCTTTGAGCGCTTCTTTTTACACCACCACGCTCTGCCCTTTTTGCGCGGCCAATCACTACTACTACTCTCTCCCAACCGTAAAAACGTCTCGTATTTTTGTATAGAGGTAGTAGCTACTAGACTTGACCGACCATTCAAATTTGAAAACAAAACTCGCAGCGCCAAACATATGGAGAGAGCAAAAATATCCTACGGAAAAAGTGATCTACCGCCGGAAGCAGAGCTGCACTCTTGTCGATTAGATCGGCAAGTGGTTTGCAAGATCTGGCCCGACTGGAGGGAGAAGCCTAGGAGAAAGTGTCGTCGATGTCGTACATTGCACCCCGGTTTCCACCTCTTCAAATCCTGATCCCACGGTCTTGGGGATTGTTCGGACTTTGGCCGCGATGAATGCCCTGCTTGGCTTGTCGATGCTATGAAAAAAGTCATTGCTCCTTCAAATCACTAAAATAGTGATCTAAACGCTTTTATATTTGTTTACAGAGGGAGTACCATGCTACGAGTATAAGTATATGATAAGGATGAAAAACAAAACATTAAGCAAAGGCTTTGGCAGGTCAAGTCAAGCAAAAATATTGATACAGAACTTATTGTGTGCGTCCAGATCCATTCCAGCACTTATTACACCAACCACTCACTCTCTATTTCTCGCTCTCACTCCACTGCTCTGCTCTGCTCTCCACTCCCCGGCAACTGTCCTCATCTCCGCCTCGCCGGCCGGCAGCGCAGCGCACCGCCCGCCGCCTCATACCCTGCCCGAAGCTCCGTCGCCTCCCGCACTCTTCCCGTCACCACGCACCACGGCTCCCGGATCTGGACCAGCCACACCGTCCTGCCGCCGCGCATAGCAGCAGGTACGCAACACAACCCTAGCCGTCTCTCTCCCTCCCTCTCTCTCTCTGACTGAACCCAACACAACCCTCATCCGCAGGTCGCAGCGGCACCGGTCACCGCCCTGGCAGCGTACATCACCGGCGGACAGCCTCGTACGTCTCCTCTTTTTTTTTCAACTTTTCCATTTCGAGCTAGCCTTTACAAGCACCATCTCCTCTAGGATTTACTAGTATTAGCTTCTTCTTTTTTTGTCCATTCGATCCAACATTAGGATTGATTTTGATTCGTGTCATGGCGCAAGATGAACACCTACAAACGAAAAACAGAGTTCAAACAGCTCTTTTGAATTAATATTTACTTTTGATTCGTGTTCCTGCAGCGACTCAATTCTTTTGCAGCTAGCTAGCTGGGACTTTCATTTGAGGCTGCCAGCAACCAAGATTTATCTACAATCGCATTTGTTGATTGGTTCCTTCCTGGATATGTAAGCTGTTCCAGTCCTCCTGCAATTATTCAATCCAGATAGCCCGTGTGCAGCTAAGAATCTAGGCCTGGACCTCATCTCACGCATCAAGGTACGCATTACCAACACTATCCTTCAGTTCTCAGATACCAGCAGCCCATCGATATTAATAACATTTGATTGCTAACGGATGATCAATCCCGGATCAATGCAGGTGCAGGCACGCACGCCCATCGATATCAGACGATGTACGCCGCCCTTAGCGCGGCGCAATGGGTGGTGGGCAAGGCGCTGGCCCCTGTTGCGGATGGCGTGTTGGGGGTTTGGGCGGCAACCAGGAACTTTGGTCCCACCTTAGAGGCCCTCAGCACGGAACTGCTGCTCGTGAAGGCCACACTCGAGCAAGCTGCCCTCAAGGAGCTCGGCGGGCCGGCCATGGAGTTGCTCCTCCAGAAGCTGCGGGATTCGGCGCACAATGCTGAAGACTTACTGGACGAGCTGGACTACTTCCGCATCCACGACAAGCTCCACAACACGGACGATGCTGCCAACCAGCACGGCAAGGGTGGCGTCCACGACCTCGCCTTCAATGCTCGCCACACCGCCAAAGCTGTTGGCAAAATGGTCAGCTGTTGCCCTTGGCAGCATGCTAAGCGCCAACAGAGGTCATGCGGCAGCTCCTCATTGTCGCCAGGCGCCAAAAGTGAGGTCAGCGGATGCCTGCCCAAGCTGAGTAAACTCCTCCCTTGCTCATCTTCCCCACGTCCACCTTTTGGTGATGACGATCGTGGCAATGCACAAGATACCCCAGAGCTCGAGTTTAATAGGGTTGATTTCTCTCAAAAGGTGAAGGCCGTCACAGAAAAATTGCAGCTTATGCGCAATGAGGTTAACAAGATTCTACAGGGTTGTGGCCCTAGAATTGTCCTAGACATTGCCCAGAGTCGTCCCATCACCCGAGCTAAGAGTACAGAGCCAAAGCTGTATGGGAGAGACCATGTCATGAATAGCATCATACATGATATCACCAAGGGTCAATATTGTGACAAGGGTCTAACCGTGCTTCCAGTTGTTGGTCCCGGGGGAATGGGAAAGACAACTCTGATACAATACATATATAACAACCAACAAGTGCAGAATCATTTTTCAGTCAAGATTTGGATATGTGTGTCATTCAATTTCAATCTGGATAAGGTGCTAGAAGAGATTAAAAGATATACCCCTGCAGTTGAAAGTGAAAAAAAGTGTAGCACAACTGAAGAGCTGATTGAACAAAGATTAAAATGTAAAACGTTCTTACTTGTATTGGATGATATATGGCAGATTAGTAACGGGGATGACTGGAAAAAACTATTGTTGACACTCGGTCAATCGCAAGAAAAGGGTTCCGTGATTCTAGTCACAACTCGGCTTAAAAACATAGCAGAGCAAGTTAAAACAACTGACTGTCCAAAAGAATTGAATGGTTTAGAGCACGAAGAGTTTAACAAGTTATTTCTTGCATTTGTCTTTGATGATGGGCAATATCCAAGGGACAAACAATTTCTTCTCGAGACCGGAGATAAGATAATGGAAAAACTAAAGGGCTCCCCTCTTGCAGCAAAGACTGTTGGTAGATTACTGAGTAAAGAACATAGTTTGTATCATTGGAAAAGGGTCCTCAAAAGTAAAGAATGGGAAAAGCAAACCGATGGAATTATGTCTGCCTTGAGGCTTAGCTATGACTTTCTCCCTTTCCATCTGCAGCAATGTTTTTCCTATTCTGCATTGATTCCTGAAGATATGTATATGAATAGCTATGATCTCATCAGCCTGTGGATTGGACTAGATATTTTGATACCTAGTGATCAAAATCAAACATTTGAATATATAGGTTTGAGCAATTTAAATGAGTTAGTCAATTATGGATTTTTCAGGGAAGAGGAAACTGATGGTGATCAGCGGTATGTTATGCATGACCTATTACATGATTTGGCAATGAAGGTTGCATCACATGATTGTCTTTGTTTACGTCTCCCTAATGTTGGATCAGTGGAAATTCAGCCAACCACCCAACACTTGTCTATAAGCACACATGACTTAGGAAAATATGATGCAGTGTCAGGTGAAAAATTAAGAAGTGAATTGGAAGAACTGAAGACAAAATTGAATGTTGAACATTTGCACACATTGATGGTATTTGGTAAAATGGATGGAAGTTTTGCCAAGATCTTTGGTGATTTTCTTTGGGAAGCAAATACTCTTCGCGTTCTTTATTTGCTTGACATGACGTATCCCATGGAGTCCATGATACATAACTTTTCAAGACTTGTCCACCTACGATGCCTATGTCTAGGGACATGTGACAGAGAGATGCATTTACCACTCAACATCTCTAAATTTTACCATTTAAGGGTTCTAGATCTTGAGCAATGGTGTGGGAGTTCTGATTTGCCCAGAGACATGAGCAATCTTGCAAAACTGTGCCATATTCATGCCAGAAGTGAGCTTCATTCAGATATTTATAATGTGGGAAAACTTAAACTCTTAGAAGAGTTGAAGGTATTTCGAGTCAATAAAAAAAGTGAAGGATTTGAACCAAAGCAACTAGAGCATTTAAGCAAGCTCAGGGAGCTTGTCATCTATAACCTGGAGAGAATTCATACAAAAGAAGAAGCAGCTCAAGCAAAATTGATGGAGAAAAGATACTTGAGGAGGTTAACATTGGACTGGGACAGTAATCGATCTAGTCTTGAGCCTGGTGTGGAAGCAGCGGTTCTTGAGAGCCTTCAACTTCATGGAGATCTTCAAGTGTTGTGCATTAGAGGGCATGGAGGTCCTTCTTGTCCAACATGGCTGGGTGATGAGTTCGCTGTTGAAGGTCTACAATCTCTTTTTCTGGATGGTGTTTCTTGGGAAGTTTTCCCTTCTTTAGGGAAGGCATGGGATCTTCGTGAATTATGTTTTGAGGATATTGACAGACTGAAGGAGTTTATCATAGTGAAAAGCTTTTGCATGCTAACAAAGCTTATACTCATTGGCCTTGGAAGTTTTGAAAAATGGGTTTACACAGGTGGAGACTTGTTGCCACCGGATGCTCATATGTTCCCTCTTTTGCAAGTTCTGGTCATTAGGAAGTGCCCAAAACTGTTGGGGTTGCCTTTCTCAAACCACATTGTTTCCCCAGATTGGTTCCCTAAGCTACAAGAGCTTGAGGTAAGCGACTGCCCCGAATTCTTGCCAGTGATTCACATCTCCCGGATCGAAAGGCTGCATTCTGTCACGATGAAATGTGTAAAGATGCTAAAGGAGTTTGCATACTCGAAATCATCCGGTGGAGCAGAGTTGAAAATTACCGGAGAGAGTGATCTTCTTAGCTTAGACCAAGTGCTGGTTTTTGATAAAGAAACAGTTACAGAGAAGCTGACACTCGAGAGGTGCCCACCTCTGGGGTTGAAGCACCTTCTGATGCTAACCTCGCTGAGGACATTGATTGTAGAAAATTCAGTTGGTCTAGTTGGACCACCAGGAGGAGGTCAGAGTGATGTGGAATGGCAACTCCCTGTTGAGTATATCAAGATCAACGACTTAAATGGTAATAGTGGGAAGGAATTGACAGAGCTCCTCCCCCACCTCCCAAAGCTCTCCAAATTGGAAATAGTGAGGTGTAAAAACATAAAAAGGCTGGTAGTGGGGGTGGATGTGCAACAAACAACATCAGAAGCATCAGAGATGGGGGGAGGTGAAATAACAGCAGCAGCAGCAGCAGAGGAACACGATGATGGGGTGCTGCTCTTCCCAGCTCATCTCCGTGACTCACTACAGGAATTGGACTTCAGTAGCTGCTCAGAGCTGGTCCTGGTGGACCCGCCAACTCTTGTTCCTGGTGGAGGAGGGCTCCAAGCTTTGCGATCCCTCCAGAGATTAAAAATATATAATTCCCCAAAGTTTCTATCCACCTTCTTCTTTTCCTGTCACAGTTTCCCTTCCTCCCTGCAGTCCCTGGTGCTTTGGGATGTGAAAGGCTTGAGGACACTGGAGCCCCTCTCAAACCTCTCCTCTCTCACCAGATTAGAATTGTTTAAGTGCGGAGAGGATCTGAAATGTGAGGGTTTGTGGTCTCTCCTTACCACCGGGGGCCAGCTCAGGGAATTGGATGTCGGGGGTAGCCCTAGATTCTTTGCTGATTGGGATCCCAATCCTAGACGGGGTTTGGAGGATGCTGAGGGAGGTGAAGAGCAGCAGACACAGCTTGTTTCATCCACACTGCGTGAGCTCGAGACAGATGACATAGCAGGACTTCTTGCTGCACCCATCTGCAGATTCCTCTCTTCCTCCCTCACCAAGCTGAAACTTTGGGGGGATTGGTGTGAAGGGATGGAGCGGTTCATCAAGGAGCAAGAGGACGCCCTTCAACTCCTCTCCTCCCTCCAGGAACTAGCGTTCTGGGATTTCAAGGATCTTCAACAACTCCCTGCAGGGCTGCGTAACCTTACCAGCCTCAAGTTATTATCAGTCAACCTCTGTCCAGCCATCTTGTCGTTGCCCAACGATGCCCTCCCGGATTCGCTGGAAATGCTAGATGTCTACAAATGCAGCGAGGAGCTAAAACAGCAGTGCAGGGGGTTGGAGGGAACCATCCCAAGAGTCCATATACTCTGATCCAAGGTAACACAAACATCATTTCTTGTGGTTTTCCACTTTGCCCTTTTCCTGCAATCGTGCTTGCTTAATAACATTGTGTTTGTTCCCATCCACTATGCAGGACAATTCCATGGAGTTCCCTTGTACATTCTTCTAGCCTTGTAGCGCTCTTCCCTTCCCATTCAAACACATGCATGACACAAGGGCCTTGTGGCTCTGGTCTTCCTTTCGTCTACTTAGATCTGGTAAGTACATCTAAACTGGAACTTTACTCCTGCTGTACTATATCTGATAAGACACAACTTGTGCTGATTGCCCTGATCTTTTACTACACACTAATAACAGCAATATTTGGGGATTTTTGGTGGAGAAGTTGATCTATCTAGCAACCAGAAATTAGATAGAAGAGATAATTTGGTTGAAGCAAAGTAGATGTGAGAGGAGAAGCAGAAAATAAGATGGGGATTAAGCACATGGGGGTGCACCCAAAATACCTTTCTGATTGAGACTTCTCAGCACCTTTCTTTGATGCAAAGTAGGAACAACACATTTCTGATCTGGGCTCCCTCTTGGTTCCAATTTTCAGGCAGAGCCATTACATGCAAATTAGCTGCAGGAACCTTCATTCGGGGTGCCCACATCAATATCAATTATATACACTTCCACTTAAACTCGCAGCAAAAAAAATGCACTTTTACTCCTGTAATATCAGATTTCCATTTTACTCTCAATGGTAGTGAAAGTATTTAAGATTTGTTTCTCAATGCCCCTTGCCATTCCACAAGTCGATAAAATCGACATTATTAGCAGCCAATGCCTTCTGCAAGCCTTATTTTTTTCTAGATGTAATTACCAACAAAAAACGTGATCACCATATTTTTGGTTCTCTGTGAAGGTGTTCGTTCGATCGTATAGGCTTCTTCATATCTTGCATTTAAGTTTGGGTTATTATCATTCATCAAGACGTGGCAGTCTACTTCCCTATTTTGGGTGTCACAATCAAAATAGCAGTAGGACATCAGTATGGAATAAATGAGACTTCGGGTCAAGATGCTGATATTAAGGTAATTTTTTCTTTTCATATACTGCTATGTTGCTGTCACTACCAGGTGTTCTTGCATTTCTAGTTTCTATTGGCTTGTTGTTAAGGTGTTCTTATGTTTGTTTGGTGGGCTTTCAAGCCACTTGTGTTTACATTTTGTCCAAAACTCATGAAGACTGAATTGTCAGTGTTTTTCTGTTAATCATGTTTGCTGTTTTGCCATCCAGGTATACTTGCAACTGATAGGTGCAGTTTTTCAATTCAGTCTACAGGTATTCTTGCATCTGTCTTAACTGTTGTTATTTAATGAAATTTAATGGTGTATAGGATCTTCAGAAGAATGACCGGCATAGCATATCAATGCACTTGTGGAGCCAGTTCAGATCATAAGCAGTAGTAGCAGTCTCAAGGTAATGCATTGCAGGTCATGTACAATTTTGAAACTATAAAATTCGACTATGGCACTAAGGTGCATGATCGCAGCCTATTTATAAATAACACTGGTTTGTTCCATCTCAGTATGACATTAATATGTAAATTACCTTTGTTAACAGTGAATCAGGATGGCGATTAATGCCGGGAATTTACTTGGTGCCCCCAACTATTTACATGCGAAACCTGCGTATCTAGTGATGGGACTGTAAGTACCTTGCCCTGGTAATAACACAGTGAAATGCAATTCTGCACTAGCTAACATGTTCTCATTTGTATCTTAACCGACTTGAAAAAGTTCAGAATTGGAGTGCTGCCAAGGACGGTGATGAATTGAATTGCAAGTCTACAGAATAATAATGCTAATGAAGATTCCTAGGCTATGCTAGCAGAAGCGTAGCCTCAGACTTAAATTGCTGCGACCAGTACATCACTCACATTCATACCGGGTATGCACTGGTTAGTATCTCGGTCATTCATTATTAGCGTAGTACAGTATAAAATAATCTGACCCTGACCGGCAGAACTATGCCAATTACTTACACACCTTGCCAGGAACCAGACTGCATCTTCTGAAGAAACCGACACTTCTCATGTTGTTATCTGAAGAAATCGTCACCCGGCGGTTATCTTCATCAAATCTAACAGCAACATACCACCGCTTTCCACGGAGTTCCGACACACTGCCACACCCTTGATCGTGCATCCAACGGCTCTGAAGACTAGAGCTGCCACTATTTGTATTACCTTTATGTCTCCTTGTTCACCAGCTTTTACATTATTAGCATTATAAAAGTTACCTTTCACTAGCTCAAAAAAGAAGTTACCTTTCACTGGTTGTAATGGGTACAAAACGCGAGATCGATCTGATAGACCTGGAGCTCAACTTCCTGTACTTGGGGTAAATCCCAGACGCCATGTCCTTGGCTGGCGTGAACATGTATCCTTAATTCGCTATATATTTTCTGCCGCGGCCATCCTCTGAATTCACCTAGCTGCTAGGTGTCATCTGAGAGTAATTTAGTTTTCTCAACTACTTGGGTCTTGTCTTGTCACTCCTTTGCTGCTACTTGTTCCTCTCAGCAGAAGAACGTTGCTGATCTCATCTGGCTTTGCTTGAAGCCATGACCTTCAGTTGTGTTCCGGAAATCCTGTAGATCATCACCAAATTAGGGGTGTCAAGTCCCAAGATATCATCATCACCATAGGAGAGTAGAGGAGCGCCATTTACTGCATTTTGTGCATCAACATTTTGTGATCTCGTCAAATATATGAGCTTCTTTTCTTCGCCATCAACTGCATGGTCATCAATTTGTGATGTTGTACACAATGAAGTTTCTCTTTTGAAGTGATGAAACATCTTAGACATGCTACATATAAATTATCATTGTCATCATCTGATGAGACATTCTATAAGCATCCATATTTACTTCTCGAGTCGTGACGCCACAGCAAGGAACACCTTTCCTTCTAGTTACACTGAAGTGTTACTATGTTTGTCAGCTCTAACTAGCATGAAATCCATCACCAACTACTTAGCATCAATCATCAGAATGTGTTCTCTGCTTAGCATCACCAGTATGTAGAAAAAAAAAACATGTAGTACTTCCGACAAAATTCAGGCGAGGATCCTTTTCACCTCCAAATTCTTAGCGGAGCGATAACCTTCAAACATATAACAACAGATATTCACACCCATATGTAGTTTTCGAGCTAATGTGGCATAGATTTATGCTAAGTGTTAGTGGTCAAGAGTTCGCAGTGGCGGGATAATTTCCATGGCCTTGAGTTTTAACCCAAATATTGTCAAAGCTACAAAAAAGAGTTCACCATTTCATTTTTGGTAGTTTCAGTGGGTAGCAAAAGAAAATTGATATCAAAACTTTGTGACACGCTTGTAATCAAATTCAAATATAGCAGATTTTTTTTCTTCTCAAAATTTAATAAGAAATCTCAAAATATTTCTGATTAGTTTTTGAAATTTCAGATATTTGAGTTCTAGTACCAAAATCCCAAACCTTGCCCACTGGAAAAAAAGTACAAATCTTACTACCAAAGCTTTTACATTGAAATATGCTTTTGCAGACTAACTAAATGTGTGCTTCACATTGTTTTTCCAAATTCGTTTTCTCATTCAAAGAGGGTTGACTCTGATGAACAGCAAAACGAGTCAATTTTCTTCAGACAACAGGACATGTGGCTAGGCAAAGTCACCAGGTATGATTCATCATTCATGGTGGTAAATTCTTAGAGGAAGCGGTAAACGGATGGTGCGGAAAACCATGTCCATGGCATATCAATGTTCCACTGGTACGAGAGTGAATTAATCAAAACTGGGATGTGAATCGACCACAGTTACAACAAAGGTGAATGCCGGCCGGCATATGCTTACATGTCCTTCCCACAGGGGAAGGATGCAAGACATACTTGTTTACAAGTATACTCCTCTGACCTAGCTAGGCCGCAACGCAAACCGTATCGCTGCAAACCATAGAAAAAAGAAGTTACAGCGAGATAAGCATGCTCTCCGTTGCGCCGGATGACTTCTCTTGCACTCGTGCTCCCAACGGGTCTGGCTTGTGTACCCGGATGCCGCTCAAGATATACCCACCAAACGCGTTCATCTGCATGTGTGGGTGGCTGCGCGATGGAAGGACCTGCATCCAGAAGTAAGGAAGATTGGAAAAACAAGGAAATCAGCACAGTTTCTGGTTTTTATAGATGATTTACCTGCATAATTCGCGACACTAGTCACAGACCCTTTGTTGAATTTATAAGTAGCATTTATAAGTCACAGACCAATTTTATTGCATTTATAAACCAATTTTGTTGCAAGCATGCTCATCACACACCACACAACCCAGCAGTTATTAGTACTCAAGTAGGGTGGCAACAAAATTGGTTTATAAACAGCCACACTTTGGTAATTTAGGCTTCAGACACGTATCCATATATGGACCTTCAAACATTTTATTACTCTACATTCCTTACTGGCAAGAGGTATTATTAATCAGGCTTATAAAAACAAGAAGAAAAAAATGCCTAGCGTACTGACCTGATACTCTCGAAGCCAGGGTTCAGTTATCTGTAACCCAATAGCCATTTTTGATACTTGCAAACTATGCATGCAAGTCGCAAGAGGCTGCATGTAGACACCAGAAAACAAAAGATAAGTAACAGCAAAACCACACTTCACAAGATGAGCAAACATAAATAAGGATAAAACAAAGAAAATGTCAATTTAACACATAAGCTAATTTTTCAGGGAAGCGACAGGATTTATTTTTAAAGAAATTCAACCTATAAAGGAAAGTAATCTGCAGAAATGCCGCAAGACAAACATTTTGGCATCTGTATCAATTGTAAAGAACAATGATTTACCTGAAGATACTGGTGATAAATGGCAAATGGGGCCGAATAAGACAAGAGCGGAAGCAAATCAGCAACCACACTCTCCACCTCATGTCCCGGAGCAGCAACAATCAAACTACATTAACACAAGACCAGTATATTAATGAAAATATTTAGACGCATACGGCAGTTGTTTTCTACTGATGGAGTATATTTCATGTTACCTGCTAAAGCCATGTTCTCCCCAATATTTCATCCTCTCCAGTGAGGGTGCTTTTCCTGCTCTCGGTGCTTTGGGAGCTATTGAATTGCCATTACTTCCTTTGCAATCTACAGATCAAGATAGCATCAGTAGATGGAACATCACACACTCTCATGGAAAGTTCTTCGTAATAGATTGATCACTGCTTACCCGGCATAGAAATGTCACCTTGATTAAGGTGTTCATCCGCAGGCTCAGGGGCCTCTATATCAATTGGAATGTCACCTTGATTAAGGTGCTCATCCGTTGCAGGCTCAGGGGCCTCTATAACAATTGGCTGCGCTGCCGTTGACTGCGCATTCCCATCTGATACTTCTGTATCAGATGGTTTTTCCAGGGATGACTGAAGACTCTCGTCTGGTACTGCACTAGGTTCGACCGCATCACCTTGAACACTACCAGGAGCATTGCCAGAACTTTTCAAGGAGCACAGGTCGCTAAGTGGTGCCTGGAAAATCCTGAATGGAGCTTCATACAGTTACATGTACATACTGATAAAAGTAATAGATGACAATTCAAGATATAATACATCTATACCAATATAAAAAGACCCAAAGGGGCAGATCCAACTGATCTCGGCCATCAAACTAAGTCAATCCAACGACCTAGACTGCTCCAATGACGAGCGTTCAACGTGTTTAACGTGCAATTAATATCATACCAAATATTGCACTAATCACAGAATTAACACACAAATAATAGCATACCTAATATCTGTGTGCAATTAATATATGGCCTAAATATTAACGTGCGTTGCACGTGCGCATTTACTAGCAATGATAAGAATGATACTGCATATTATCTGAAACTGTAAATAATGTATCTACCAACATTCTCTAACTGACTATCTACTTAAATGAGAAGCATCTTTAAATGAGAAGCCATATAGTGCTCAAAAATTGGATTTACCTGCTGGTCATCTCGCTGTTCAAATTATACATTCTTATTATGTCTATAGAGCTGGGCGCTGATCCAAGATATGTGCTACAAACATATCCTGTACCTATAACAGAAATAACAGACAATTAATATTGATTGTAACTAACATATGCATTAAAATGGCGATGCACAAGCATAATTTACCTCCTAAGCGTTCAGCTACAGCTCCAACAACTAAACCCCCAACCATATCAACGGCAAGCACATCTGAATATGCACCAACATTTGCCATTGACAACAAGAGGGAGAGCGTATCAACTCGCATAAACCTGAGGAACACAGAAAAGACAGTGTTATGTAACTAAGTGCTATAGCTATACACTTCCATTGTTTCTAGGAAACAAGATCAAGAAATTGACTATGATGATGAAAAGGAAAAGAATAGATTGGCACCAGCAAGTAATGAAAGGGAATTAATTACCCTATTCGAGCTGGATACTTCTTGAAATATGTCTCACAAATGCTGTAGCATAAAAGGGAGCAAAAATATTAGATAATTTTGCACACCTTCCACTTCTAGTAGTATATGCTAAATCCAATGAGCATAATTTAAAAGGCAATTATTTGTTCAAGTGCCAAGCACTTGCAAATATAAGTTATGACAAAATTATTCAAATTATGCCAACTTTCCAAATAACTGAGTTAAATCCAGTTCACCTGGTAATCTTTCAAGTCAAAAGCTGGAAAACTTACATGCTCTATTAAGAGAAAGTTAAAACCCTCCCATTCCCATCCCAACCAACAACATGTCCATATACCAACTTAACAAATTAATTTGCATTGCAAGTTTTATGCAGCCACAAGTTATTTCTTGTTCTGAATACCCTATACCACCACTTTTAATGAAACAGAGGATACACAAATATTCAAAAGAGCAGCTGTGCGACTCAAATTCCACAGGCAACAAGTTCAGAAACATTTTGTTTTAGTCTTCTTCTTATTTTCCCTCTCTACGCACTTTATCAATTGATACACCATGTTCCATGTCATATTCAGATTAAGAAGCACACATTCGGCTGTATTGATGAATGATGATAGCATATATAATCATTATGTTTCTGCATCTCTTGATGAAAAACACAGAGGAAGCGTGTATTCAAATGCCTTCAAATTGTACATTGTAGCCCACTACCCGGTAGAAGTTGGTGTGACCTAAGGTTGGCTGGGCTATGTAAAATTAAGCACAACAGACTGGATTACTGCCATAGAGAGATGGCGGTGATGTGGAAATAGAGAGCAGCAGCCTATATGCTAGATGTGTTATCGTCAATTGTTGTACGAGATTATAAATTAATCAATGAGTTTTTCCTACTTCTCCTACTTCATTCATACAGTACAACAATCTTCAAACTTCAGTTAAGAAGATACTTGAGAGTTCAGAGATATTGGTTCACTACTTTGGACCAGACATCCACTACAAAGGGCTCATCAGAAGACGTATCTTGTATATTCATATAATAAACACAACATACATATGGTCGCATACGTGATTGTCTCGCTCATGACTCATACAGCACAACAGGTTTGACAGTATTCGCTTTCAAAAGATATGTGATATTTAAGCTGCTGCAAAAGGGGCGGCATGAGATACCTTCGGGTAGAGGGGCGTCGCAGGAGCACTTTAGGCGCATATTTCTTTTGTTTCTTCAGTTTGTATTTCTCCTGCAGCCAAAAAAGATGAAACGAAATCAGCCCTTGGCATCCTCCAAAACAGTAAGGAACCAACTAGACAACAAGTAACTGGTACCAACCTGTGAGAACACTGTCTTATTTCCAAACGTGGAGCTGTTAGCTATCAAGGCCTCCACGATCGCGTCGCCGCTCGCACCCTCCCTATTAAAGTCGCACGACGTCAAAATCTCATTAACACAGAGAGCAGACAAATAAGCTCGGCCAGGACACATGGAAAACGGCCGGTCGGTCAGTCGGCGAATCCTCACCGCTTCATCGCCTCGATGTCCTCGCTGGAGAGCGTCTGCGCGGTGTTATTGTCGACCAGGGACCTATTGTCCCTGGTCTCGTCCTGCACCTGGCCCTCAGCGGCACTGCCGTCCCGTGGCTTATCATCTGTACCAATCAACCAATGCCGGCCATTGTTATTACTAGGATAAAATAGCATGGCATGTTTTAAAGAGTAGAGTGAACACATGAACTGGAATGGAAAACAGTATAATCATACTTGCCTTGGCAGGGGAGGAGGCCGTCGGGGCCGACCCGGAAGAGGGAGCCGAAGGGGCGGCCGAGCAGCGGCTGCAGCGAGCAGCTCTTGTCCCCTATCTTCACCGTCCTGCGCCAACCACACCAAACACGTCAGCGTGGGCAGCTAGCTAGCTAGGGTTTCGGAGCAGGAAGCTAAATAAAGAGGGGAAGGGAAGGGGAGGGTACGGACGCGCCGGGGGTGAGGCGGAAGAAGGCGAGGCGGTCGCCGTCGTTGATGTCGAGGAGCACGCTGCAGCCCTCCCACGCCTCCCGCGGTATCACCGCCGTCGGCGTCTGCGGCGGCGGCGGCTGCGCCATTGGTGTCGCCGAGTTCGGGAGACGAGGGTTTAGCCGTTCGACACGCGGGCCGGGTCGTTAACAACCCGGACCCCGTTCCAACGCAAGACTGGGCTGGGCCCAACTCGGCCCTTCAGGAACAATTCTGTCTGGCCCGGCCCGCCAACGATTCTCCTTCTTTCTTTCTATGGGGGGAGAGGGTAGAGGAGAGGAGAGAGCCCATCGTCAAACCCCAATCCCCCCACACCCTCGTCGCCGGCGCCGGCTCCGGCGAAAACCCTAGCTCTTGCTCGGTTCTCCTCGCGTCGCAGCCATGGTGAGCCGACCTAGCCTCTTGCTTCCCGTTGCAGATCTGCCGCAATCTGACTCGTGCTGCGCAGGAGAGGCCCGGCCACGGCGGCATCGGCAGCGGCGGCGGCAGCAAGAACCCGCCGCCCTCTGGGAAGAAGGAGGCGGGGGATGAGGAGTACGGGGGAGGGTACGACCGGCTGGACGAGGAGGTGGAGTTCCGGCTGCCGAGGGGGCACCGGCCGGTGGAGAACCTGGACACGGAGGGGCTGGAGCAGGCCTCCGTCGACACGCGCCTCGCCTCCTCCAACGTCGGCTTCAGGCTGCTGCAGAAGATGGGATGGAAGTCCGGCAAGGGCCTCGGCAAGAACGAGCAAGGTTTCCCTTCTTTCTTTCTTTCCTCTGCTCTCAACTATAGTTCAGTAGTTGAACATGTACTTCTGTGAACTGTTGTCAGCCATCATCCTTGCCTATTTCAGACTCTCTGTCTCATCGGTTAGTAAGTAGCGGCAATTGACACAATTAGGACGATCAGTAGTAGCCGGGGACGTAGCAGAGGCCGCTGTCGACGCCGCGGCTGCAGGACGGGCCGCGTGATGTCCATTGTGCTGGTTTTATTAGCTGGCTGACTGACTGACCACCATGTTAATTTTAAGCTTGTCTTGGTTGGGGTCATGGTGGATTTTAAGCTTGTCTAGGGACGCAATTAGGCGACGCTTAGCTAAGCGTCGAGTTTTGGGTTTGGAGAAAGGTTGCCATTCGTCAATGCAACGATAGTCCACAGTTGCTGCTATAGAAGCTGCTTGTCCTGTTTGAGATCTGCGTTGTTAACAAATGAAAATAAACTTAGGTGAAAGCAACAAGTTTTTGTTAGAATTCAGCTTCAGTCACTGAACCTGCTCTAGTTCTGTGTTGGTCAACCATCAACATCCTTCTTTCAGACTCCAGCGTCATTGTATTCCAACTCATGGGTTAGTAATTAGCACTGTTTGCAAAGCGTCCCTAAAGTGTCGCTTAAGCGTCAGAGCGTCCACCACGCTTTAGATATGTGTCTAAGGCGTCCGCCGTACACATTAAAGCATCTGAATGTGTACTTCTGTCAAGTGTTTGCCCTCTCTCCTCTGCTCTCAGCTCTCAGCTCCTTGTTTGCCCCCTCTCGAGATTCAGTTCAGTGGTGGAACGTCTACTTCTGTCAAGTGTTGTCACTCATCATCCTTGACTGTTTCATACTCTGTCATCGTCCTAGTCGAGCTCACTGGGTATTAATTAGTCGAATATGGCATATGAGTATACAATCAGTAACTAAAAACAGGGCAGAGGCTGTTGTTGGTGCCGTGTCTGCAGGCCTGACGGTGCAAATGCCGATTCCGCTGGCTTTGTTGGCTGGCTGGCTGGCTGACTGACCACCATGTTACTTTCCTTGGTTGGGGTCTTGATGAATTTTAAGCTTGTCTGGGGACACATTTAGATGAGCTAAGTGTCGAGAGTTTTGGGGTTTGGAGAAAGTGGGTTGTCATTCGTCAATGCAATGGTAGTCCACAGTTGCTGCTATAGAAGTCGGTTGCCCTGTTTGAGACCTGCGTGGCCTAGTTTGACTGCTGTTGACAAATTAAAACAAGCATAGGGTAGAACAAGAGGTTACGGTTAGAATTCAGGCTCCAACTTCCTTTAATGCTCTATAAAGGATATAAGTCTGCTACCACCATCCCAGCAGACACATTAGTTTTATTCTGCTCTAAAAGACCCAAAGAGGATTAATCTGCAGCAGCTTGCTCGTTGACTCATGAAACAGGAGCATATTGTTACTTGATGAATGGAACGTGTTCTTTTATTTCTTCATCACCTTTTGTTCTGCACTTACCGCTCTAGTTTCATCTGAGATGCTATTTCTTCTTATCCACGACCTGCCATCTTTGACCAAAGAAGAAGGTTCACAATTTAGCATTTGCCTTCTAGTTCCTGCACCTCAACAATACATTTCATTGTCCCGATGCAGCTAGAGCCAATAATTAGTAGAATCAGTAGCTGAAGACATAGCAGAGGCTGCTGTTGACACCCCAGCAGCCCAGCTGCATGACCTACGGCATAATGTCGATTGTGCTGCTTTTGTTAGCTGACTGACAACAATGTTAGTTTCCATAGCTGTGGTTTTGCTGAATTTTATTTAAGCTTGTCTAGGGACACTTTTGGGCAAGTGTCGAGAGTTTTGTGTTGGAGAAAGGCAGTATCATTCGTCAATGCAATAGTAGTCCACAAGTGCTACCATGCATGTACTACTATAATCGTTTGCCAATTTGACATTTTCAATCCTAGGATTGATGTGTAGTATCAACCATTGTTTGGTGTCATCGTGTTGGTCCAGTGGTCTAGGTTGCAGGGGCCATCCGTGTACAGTCTTCTGGATCCGTTGAGTCTCAAGGATGCTTAAAACAAATCATGCACGAAAGCGAGTTTGCGGCAGGTGGCAAGCGCTTATGCCATCTCAGAGAGCGTGGCATCCCTTGTCGTCATCGATCCCCATGGAAAGTGCACCAACTCTTTGCTGACCCCTGTGAAACCCCATCAATGTAGGCTCTCTGCCTCCTAAGCCTTCAGATCAAATCAATCACCAAACCTGGAACCGTACAGAAGAATGAGAGAGGAACTAAAGGAAACAAAGATGAGGATACTGCAATGAACAAAAAGTCCATATTGATAGATCTGAAAGGGCGGAGTGCTTGATGCAGAGCCTCTGGCCATGCCATTGGAACTTGGGACTTATCGTTGTTAATGTTGTTTGGTACATTTGTATGTGTTTCTATAAAGTTCTGCTGGATCAAATGAGTGCACTTGGACTTTGAATTGGAGTACTAGTAGAAGTCAGTTGCACTGTTTGAGGACTGAATTCGAGTGCTGTTGACAAATGATAACAACCTTAGTGTAAAGCAAGTTCCAGTTAGAATTTAGTCTCTGGCTCTTTTAATGCTCTGAAGGACACAAGTATGCTACCACCATCACAGGCTCACAGCACACACTATAGCTTTATTCTACTCTAAAAGAACCCAGAGAAGATTAATCTGCAGTAGTTTTCTCACCAACTTTGGTAACCAGAGTATATCTGGTATTTCATATTACTGACGATCTGAACATTTTCTTTTATTTCTGCCTCATCTTTTGTTCTGAACTTATGCTACAGTTTCATCTGAGATGATATTTCGTTCTTCCAAAGGCGTTTTACAATTTAGCATTGCCATCAATTCCTGCACCTCAACAATACATTACTTGTTCCAATGCAGGTATACTAGAGCCAATAAAAGCTGGTATCAGGGATGCAAAATTAGGAGTGGGAAAGCAAGAGGAGGATGACTTCTTCACAGCTGAGGACAATGTACAAAGAAAGAGATTAAATGTTGAACTTGAGGAGACCGAAGAGCATATTAAGAAGCGTGAGGTGCGCAATCACACACTGAGTGCTAATTTCTGTATTTTCTTTTGAGATTCTTCCGGTTGATGCTTCAGTTGTGAGAACCGGTATCTGATTGTCGGCGCTGCATAGCACCTATGCTGGTGTGCCATTTGGATATGGAGTTGTAGCATCAGCCCTTATGAATTTTTTGGCATCCTGTGCACTTTTTATTTGGTGGCTTCTTTTCCCTGCTTGGTGCGAATCATGACAATCCAGGTCACAGCAGAACGTGAGCAGAAAATCCGCAGTGAGGTTAAGGAGATACAGAAGACGTTCTTTTGCAGCCTCTGTAATAAGCAATACAAGCTGGCATATGAATTTGAGAGTCACCTAAGCTCATATGACCATAATCATAGGAAGGTAATGCATTTGCAACACTAGTTCCGTTGAATTTTTTTTCACTGATTTATATTTTCTGATTGTTCTGATTTTTGTGCCATACGTTTGTTGCTGTTGATACCTTATGTATCCTTTTCCCCCTAACACGAGACTTTGTATGGTTCTGGTTCTGCAGAGGTTTAAGGAAATGAAAGAGATGCAAAGCGGCGGCAGTGGCAACCGTGATGATAGGCAGAAACGTGAGCAGCAGCGAGAAGAGAAGGAGCTGGCAAAATTTGCCCAACTGTATGCATTCTGTACTTTCTCCTCAATTAATAAAACACGATGAATGCTTGTTTTTCCTGAGGAATGCATTGAATGTGTGTTAAACTTGTACTTTCCCTGATGGAACTCGCAGGGCAGATGCTCATAGAAAGCAGCAGAAAGAGAAGCGAGAACAGCCAGAGATCTCAGGAGAGCAAGCTACGCCAAAGAACTTGCCGACCCCAGGCAATCAGGATCAGCGTCGAACATTGAAGTTTGGCTTCTCCAAAATGACCCCTTCCAAGGTATCTTAATTCTTACATCAACACCACATTTTTTTGTTCAGCTGATATGACTATGGAAGTAAAGGGTGATGTGCTTGCATTCTGGTAACTCTGAACTGAGATTGAGCTTGTTTGCTCCTGCTTCAGAAACAAGATTTTTTTTTTCACAGTACAAAGAATACCACATGTACATGTTGCAAATAATGTGGCGCTTTTGAAATTTTGTGCCAAAATATGCAATTGTGTGCTGTGCAAAGAAAAGAGATTTGTTTCTCAAGTAGTCATATTTTAGCCTCTTATCCCTGTCTTCTTTGTGCAGCCCACAAATGAAGTTACTTTTACCTCCTGTTTGCTAATTCCACATATGTATCATGCTTTAGCTGCTAGTTCAGTGAGATCATTCTGACTGAGCATTCCTTGTA